GGGCCCTCTCCCCTCAAACCTAGAGCCCTCACCCTCAATGCCTCACACACACCTGAACCCTACCCTCATAAAGCCTGAACCTGTTCTCCTCATTAAGGCCTCTCCCTCATACCAGGGCCTCTCCCTCATACCAGGACCTCTCCCTCATACCAGGAAAAACTCTTCTCAATACCAGGGCCTGCTTCTCCTCTACCAGGACCTTCTTTCTCATAGCCAGGCCCTCTCCCTCATACCAGGAACCTCTTTCCTCATGCCAGGGCCTCTTCCTCATACCAGGGCCCTCTTCCCTCATGCACCAGGGTTTCTCTCCCTTCAATACCTGAACCTCTTTCAACCTCCATCACCAGGGCCTCTCCCTCATACGCAAGGGCCCTCTCCCTCATACCAGGGCCTCTCCCTCAAACCAGAGCCTTCTCCTCCTCATGCCTCACACCACCTGAACCCTACCCTCATACCTTAACCTCTCCCTCATACCAGGGCCTCTTCCCAGGGCCTCATACCAGGAACCTCCTCCCTCATACCAGGGCCTCTCCCTCATACCAGGCCCTCTCCCTCATACCAGAGCCTCCCCCTCACGCCCCTCATACCTCATACCACGGGCGGGACCGCGAGACCGTCCCTCCCGGAGCAGCGGGCTTTTCAAACAATAAAAGGGAACGGTAATGACACCCCGAGGACCCTCCGGATACGAAATCGATTCCTGTAAAATACTTTGTTGTTTAGCGGCTCTTTGGCACCGCTAAACAGATTTCCAGCAAGGGCGATATAATTCTCGTTCTCACGGCATTGGGTAGTAGAGGTTTTGAGATAAGAGAGGACGACTGGAGAACGACTACCTGTCCTGGTCGTTGAGGAGTAATAGGAAGCACGATTTTTACACTTTTTTTTTTTTTTTTTTTTTTTTTTTGGTTGAGTTCCCCCCCTTCGACTTGGGAAAAAAGTACATGTTGTGAATTGTCCCAGAAATCGTATTAATAACTGTGTTGTTAAGGGTGAGAGTGGGGTCTACTTGCAAGCATATTTGTAGATATCATTATCAAAATAATGAGGATAATGGGTATAATAGTCTTAGTATTAGAGTAAAGTAGAAATTAGTAACATGAATCTCAAAAAAAAACAAAAAAATCATATTTGTATTTCCGATGTGAACGCTTCCGTAAAAAATATTTTCATATACACATGTTCATAAAAAAAATGTAAATATATATTTCAAAACTGTCCATCAGCGAGAGAAAGACATGCAAACATGATATCCATCAACTCATTTTAATAATTCTACCTGTCCTCTCCCCCTTCTCCCCTCCCCTTCCTCGTCCAGCACTTACCTCCCTCCCCCCCTCCTTCCCTCCCTATCCGTCCCTACCTCACTATCCTTCTCTCCTTCCGCCTCTCGCTTCTCTCTGACCTTACCCTCCTTCCCTCGCTTCATCACCATTCTCTCCGCCTCTCTCCTCCTCTTCCCCTTCCCTCTCCCTCTCCCTCACCCTTCCCTCTCCCCCTCCCTTCCTTCGCCTTCCCTTCCCTCCCCCCGTCCCTCCTCCTCTCCCCTTCCCAATCCCTTCTCCTTTCCTTCCCCTCCCTCCCCCGCCTCCCTTCCCTCTCCTCCCTTCCCCTCTCCTCCCTCTCCTTCCTTCCCCTCTCCTGCCTCCCCTCCCCTCTCCCCTTCCCTTCCCTCCCTCCCTCACTTCCCTCCTCCGCCTCTCCCCCCCTCCTCCTCCTCCCCTCCCTCTCCCCTTCCTTCCCTCCTTCCCCTCCCCTCATCCCCCCTCCTTCCTCCCAACCCGAGCAAACTTACCGTTGTCCAACATAGCTTGGTGCGCCGGTAAACAAAACCCAACGGCAATTCATTATCATTGTTATCTGTTTTGGTTGGAAAGCTTTTTTAATT